GATGCCTTGATAAAACTGATGAGCTTATTTGAGAATGTTTGAGAATTCACCTGCACAGGTGATGCTGAGTACTGTGACAGCTTTTGAATATCTTGACCTAGGTGATGGTCCAGTTAGAACTTGGTTGAAAGCCTGATTAGATCTCATAAGAACTCATTGATAACCTCCTCAGAGTTTGCATTGTGATGTCTCTTACTGGGGTTTCTTTGGCTTTTTTTCTTAATATTTGAACAAATACACATTGTACATTTCTTGTCATTAGAACCACCATCAGTTTTGGAGGTGTTTATTTTTGTTTTGTTTTGGTTTTGTTTTGTTATTGCTTTTGTGTTGTTTGTTGTTGTTTGGTTTTGTTGGTTTTTCTTTTTTCCCCCCAAATCTTATGCTCCTATTTCCATTTGTGGTTTTGGGAAGGATTCTGGGAGAGGTCATGTGAAACAGTGTGTGCAAACATCAAAGGCAAATGTGTTTTGGTTTTTCTTTTGTCTCTTTCATCCTAAATGCATGCCAAGAGTGGTCATAGGAGCCTTATGGAAGTGTTGGAGTAGAGTGGAGAGGGTGGTTAAAAACAATAAGTTGGATCTGTGAGCAGAAATAGAATGCTGACAGAAGTTGAGTGCAGATTGCAGTGGATTTAAAGATGCACATTTTTTTATGTGGCTGCCTGCACAGTCACATCCTCTCTCGTTTCTATTACCTTCTTAAAAATGTTCCTTTTTCTCCATGGCAGTCTTTGTATCTCATTCCAAGTTCAGCTGGCAGGACCAACTTTTTGATTGAAATAATGGCTAGTGGAGAAGGAATGGTGCTGGAGTATAAAGCCACTGATAAGATTTTGTACTTCCAGCCCTAGTTACTGGATGGGGAAATCTATGAAAAAGCTGTTGATAACAGCAATTTAAATAATATTTCAAGAAATAAAACTGGAATAACATGTGAATGGTTCTGAAACTGTCACTGAGTTGGGATTACCTGGTTGTGTCCCTGTCCTTTCAGACTGACAAGTTCCACAAGGCAGCTCCACATGAGAAAGGGTTCCTCTCAGCAGCGACCTCAGAGGTTTCCTCACACTTGCCTGTAGCCATAGCATAGTGTCATGGAAAGAGGATGGAGTAATTAACAATTAATAAGATATCCACATGCATATAGGAGCTTAAATTAAAAAAATGACAATATTTATTAAAATACACCTAAATTAATGTTTATAAAGAATAATGTTTCAGGTGTGTGAGCAGTAACACTAAGTAATAAAATCAAGTCCACCAGCACTTCTACAAGCCAACCCTTAATTTTTCTCTTTTAAGTAGCATAAAAAGAGTTTAAAAGTATTTAATAGTGTAAATAGGTTCATCAGGATGCATTGGGTCTGAATCTTTTCCCGTGAGCAACAGATAGATGCTGCTCCCCAGCATTTTAGGTGGTTGTTTAATGCTGGACTACCTCTTATGGTAACTCAGTTTTTCTCTTTAGTGAAAGAAAGAGTTGGCTTTCTGAACCATCAGAGAAACTGTCCCCAAGGAAGGAAAGAAAGCTAGCTCATTCATTAAGTGAATGGTAGAATCTAGGAAATTGTATCAACTAAAAATCCCTTTTTAAAATTCTCATTACTCAAGAGTCTGGCAGAGCCACATCTAGCTAGTGGTTTCTGTTCCCTATAAAGGCTGAAAGTGTGGTCTTTGAAGAAGAAATGTCACAACTGAAGCAGGTGTTCTGCTTAAGGGCTGGCTTCAAACGGGCCTCAGAGTGCTGGGGAACAGTCTGGACAAACTGAAGAGGAACAACTCATTCTGCAAGAACCATCAGAATTGACTTGGGAGTCCCAGCTCTCTGCCAGTCTTACTTAATTGGCAGTACCAAGAGCTTTTATATAATTCACACTAAACAAAATGGGAAAATAGCAAAGGATAGTATAAGAAAGAAAACTTGATAGTGAACACATTTTCAGTTAACATCTAGGAAACATTCTGGGAAATAGATTTTAAGACATTTTTTCTTCTTACTGCATATGTGGTAGAAAAATAAATTAGGATGGGACAGCATTGACAAGTATCTCAAGCGTTTTAACAGCATAAAAATGGGAATAATACATCATACCTACAAGGTTTTTTTGAGGGAATAAATAGATGTTGCTATTGGAGTCCTTTTTGGCATGGTATGTTTCAATGTTTGTTTATTTAAATCATTACAAGAAGTGAGATAATTCTATCCTTGACACTGTATATTGGTTTTATAGTTAGTAGAATAAGTGAGTGAAATCTTACTGTCAGAGTATAGGTATTTCTGTCCTGAAATGCTGGTAGAACACAGGGCAACATGAAACTTTCATTGATCTACCCATGGTGAAGAGTCTCCCTGTACAGAACGATTTCAGTACATTAGAGCATCACATCCACTGAGTTAATTGTGTGTCTGATCTCTTGATGCCCTTCTTGAAGGGATAATTTCAAAACTTTACCTATTTCTTATCCTAGAGTTGGAATCTGTGTTCTTTTCCCTTAGAAAGAGAGGTTTAGAGTGAATTGTAGAATTCTTCAGATAAACAACTTTTTCATCCTGAACTATGCTGAACATCTTTGGCTTTCATTCCTGGAGAGAAGATAACAAATTTAGCCAAAGCTTATTAGGTGTTTACTCATCTCACAGAGAGTCTTTGAGAGGACAACAGTATATTATGTTTTCTTCCAGGGATATGGCTCTTAGTCACTCAGTTCCTCTCAGTTCTTGGAAGAGATATAGATTGTTTGGTACCTAGGTTAAAGCAAGTTCATCTCATTTCAGGATCTTTCTTTATCAGGCCTTTTCAAAAGGTAAGATTAGTGTTTACTGTCTTCATGGAAAAAAACTTGGAAAGGCTGGATGCCTACAGAGTTTCAGCACTTAAAATCTCTCCCTGCCTTCTCTTGGCTAATTTTTATTTCTACAGAAGTCTCATACATGATGCCAAGAATATACAGCTATAAATATTCCTTCGACATTTCTCTATTGCAGGTTGTAGTGTACAATTGAAGTGCCTGATGTCAAGAACTAAAGTCCGAGCCTGTGTGGGAGACAAGATCCAAGACACTTTGAAATAACCAGAAAAAAAACCTCCAAACATCAAATGTAGCACTTTGAGAGTCTTTAGGGACTTTTTTTGCAAGGAATCAGGTCCACTTAGATTTAACAATGAGTTTTTAAAAAAAATAATTCAATGTGGATTTTACATAGACAGAGAAGAGGTAGGCATTATTGTCAGGCTGTGTCAAGAGTACAGTTTGTCTTGTGCCTGTGTACTGCAAAGGGCTCCTCTTCCTCAGTGAGCTCCAGTCTCCAGTCCATCACACACACACCTGCCCATGCTTCCATCAGGGGAATAAAGTCAGGGAGAGGAATACAGGATATGTTCCTACACATCTTCTCGTTGTTTATCCTCTGGGGACTTCAGTACCAAACACGGATGGAAAGCAGCGGGCAGCTGTAGCTTTATGAGGGGATGCACATCTCTTTTACTTGCAGAAGGGGTTCCTTATATCTGGGTCAGTCCACTGCTGTATTGACGTGCTTATAGCCTGCAATGGGCTGGCCTTGGCCAGCTGCCAGGCACCCAGGCAGCCTCTTCAACTGCACAGGGGGAGAAACCACAATAAAAAAGCTCGTGGGTAGAGATAAAGAGAGGGAGATCACAAAGCCAATGTATCATTCAGCTGTGTTCAGTTCTGATACCCTTTGTCAGCAAAAAGACATTTCTGTCAGGAGGGCAAGAAAGCAAATGAAAAAATCATTGCACACTGCACAGCCCCAGGGGTTCCCAAACTACTGGGACTGTAGAAAACTAGTTATGAATTTGTTATGCCTGTAGAATGTTGGCCTGAGCTTCTCAACAGCCCTTAACACCACATCAGCTAAAGAAGGAAATATATTGTCTACTAGAAGAGAGCTTTGTTTTACTTATTGTATTGAAAATACAGATGACAAGTATGAAAATGAGGAAACAAGTGTCCCTCATACCAAACTCAATTTGGCTGTCAGATTTTCCCTGTGGAATCTCTGTGGAGGCTTGGGAGCTAGCTTAAAAAATGCTGCCTTTTGGGAGCTGGTTTGCAAAAGAGAGTTAGGGGCTGTATTTAGCCACGTGGACCAAGAAGTCAACTCTATGTCACTTTGCTTCCTATCTTCTGTCATTTTGAGTCAAACGAATAAGTGGGCTACCAGTTCACTATTTTTTTTACCCTGGCTTTCTTGCCAGAGAGTTTTCCTTTTGAGATAAACCTTTTCCTCCCCTTATATATTTTTTCTTCAGAATTTATTTCCTGGTTCTTTGCTTGCCCCAAGAATGCAATTTCTGGCTTATGTGAGATATACCTATGATAACTTGTGGTTCTTTTTTCCCCATTCTTTGAGATTGAGATATAAAAAGCAAATGCAGCAAATTACTCCTTCTCCTTTGCTGAGATTGTCTTCCTTTCCAAACTCTTACTATGAATTATTTACCATGAGCCATATTCACTGTGCACAGATCTTATACATCTTATCCCTGGTTCTCAGCTTTTCATGCTTTATGACTAGCTGAGTGGACATGAGAGCACTTAGTTTCCCTGGATGCAGGAACCTGGATGAAATGACTCAGCCCCATCTCAGGGCAAGTGTGGCCCAATGTTTGCCTTGCTTCTTCCACTGGCACAGTGACATCCAGGACGGGCTCAGGCTTGTGGTCCAGAGTGAGCTGTGGCACACTCTGGGCAGGGTCCACACCTGGGCAGCTGTGTGTTCATGCAGCTGAGGCATACCATTGCCATCAGACTTGATGTAGCTGCAGAGCCATAGCAAGGCAATATTACTAATATAAATGACAGATCTTGCATTTAGAGTGGGGGTTTTTAATAACTTCTGCTTTTTCAAAGTACCTTTCCTGTCTGCCTTTTATCAGTTTTGGTGCTTCTGCTGTTGTAAGTCTCAAATTGGAAATATATTAGTTGTAACAGCTCAGTGAATCATTCTTTTTCTTATGTTTCTTTTTGCAGATGGCCTAGTAGCTGAAATTGAGAAAAAGATTACAGAAGCTTTTGAAGTGTTTGACCGTGAATCCAATAAAACTGTGGATGTCAGGTTTGCAAATATATTCACAAAATTATTACAGTATCTCAATAGAGATAAACAGCTCCCTAAACTGGCATCTGCTTTACCAGAAAATGTCACAGAAACAGTTCTTTTGGCCCTGTTTGGACAAGTATGTTTGTAGTGGGTTGACCTTGGATGGATGTTTAAAAATCCCAGATTCTTTTAATTCTGGTATTTTTAAAGTTTGAATATTTGACAGTGCTATTTAAACTTAATTTGAATGTAAACATTCATACATATATGACTTATGTTATGAAATGCCTAAACCACATGTTTGTGTTTCAGGGAGTAGGTTCAGAGGTTATAAACAGTTGTCATGAAAGTTTACTGGAGTAGCTTTTCATATTTACAATTACTATTTTCAAAATAATATCCTTTTAATTTTAAATCAGTTATTGAGTGGAAACAGTACAATGCAGTGTGAGAAGTGGTGAAATTGTCATTAGATGCTCTTCATGAAGACAAATTGAAAAACATATTTAAATGTTCTGAACAGCTTTTCTACATTACAGAGAGCAAAGGGAGGTGCAAAATATTTATATGATGGCTGTAGCAATGCATGCTTATTAATGCCTCTAAGTTTAAGAAATGGCAGGTGTTTCATAGAAGTAATGGTTTTTCAGCTATATATATATATATATATATATATACACACACAGAGGATATGTCTCCATACTCAGTATAGTTGCTGTTCCCTTTTCTGTAGGGCTCTGTAGGGGAGAGTGATCTCTTAAATCCCTCGGTGTGTGCCCAGGGAGGTGCCTGATGCCCAGGGCTGGGTCTGTCCCGGTGCCCCCTGGTGCCCTGCTCCTGGCTGGGCAGTAGGATGGGCTCTGGCTGCCCTGCCCAGGGCAGAGCCTCTCTCACTACCACCCCCAGCCCTCACGGCATCATGGCATCATGGCATACTCACTGCCTGTTTGTTTGTCATTTACATCTGCAGTCTTGGCTAAACAGCTGTAGAATTTTCTCCACTTCTCACTTCATTATATATGGATATAGAGCTTGGGAGCATGTTACAACAATGAAATGATACAAATGGACTCTTTTAAAAATGTATTCATTCAGACAGGGGACATCCAAAAGTCTATTTAACGTAGCAAATGCACAATTTCACATTAAATTTTTTGTAGTACAGGTACAGACAATGAACAAAAACTTATTGTCTAATTATTCCTAGGTTCATATTGCAGGGCTGTATCACAAATGGGATTATTAATGGCTGATTATATTATATCAGAAGGTGGCAGCACAGCACAATTCTTAACCACAATTGTAGCAGGATCAGTATTATTGCCTGAAATATCAGATACCTGTGAAGAATGGAAAATGATACTGGTTTGACAGGCCAACATTGGTATTCCATGACTCCTAGTACAAATTAGTAAGAAATTAAGCATGAGGAAGATTTTTTTTTCATGCATGTTTCATATCCCTCAGTCAAGGACTTTTGTGATATTGCAAATCTTGTCATTGGAAGCGTTATATGTAAGGTGAAAACCATGACCCAAAATTTTCATTGCATCTGTGTTACAAGACTTGTATGATCATAAACTTGATTTTAACCATCATTTTTGTATTTTAGAAACTACACAGCAGAAACTGCAGCTGCTGAACTAAGTGAGAAGAAGGGGCTAGGAGCAAAATAATTTCCTATCAGGTCCTTTAAACTCCATGTTATTACCAAATGGGACCTGAATTTTTTTTTACCACAAGGACTTTAAGCAACATCGTCATTCTGGCATGCATGCAGACTGCCAGATACAGCATCCAGCAGTGCCAGATTTTAGAGACTTTTCTAGGTCTGACTTACCTCAGTCACATCACAGTTCTGCTGGGTGTGAGTGAAGTGAGGCAGGAGGGTCATGGCAGCATTCCCATCCTTGGCAGTCTGTGAGAGCAGAAATAGTGTGGGACAACAAGGAGGCAGGATTTGTATTGGCTGTTGCTCTGATAGAGGCAGGGAATAGTTACAAGTAGCTGGAAAATATGAGGGAGTGCAGGAGTGAGAACAACAAATGCAATATTATACATACTAGAAGTAGGATGCATGGACAAGGATTATGTCAAAGTGACTGACTTCCCTGAGGCCATTGGCCATTCACAACCACAGGGGCAGGGTCATTTGAGTAGATGGTTTCATTTCAGAGCACGTGGATGTGTGGGATTGGGTTTTGCTCTGCAACTAGTTTTATGCAGCCAGCCCTTTTCTCTCTTTTATCTACTGTAGTGCTTCTCACTTGTTTTCAATCAGAATGGGAACTCCTTGGGACCTGTCTGAGCAGGTCATAGACTTATACATATAATTTTGCATATGCTTAGTGTGCTGCATTCAGGGTCTTAATGTTATAAGAAAATTTTACAAAGATCATTCCTCCTTGTATCTACCATTTTTATTAGGCAATCTGATTTTTGCACAAAATGAAAAGAAAGAACCACAGAGGTTTGGATCATGGGAACCACCAGCACTGTGAATACATATTCAAATGTGCTTAAATTTCTGTGTTGTTGAATTGAATTGTAAGTCACAAGCTATAGTAATGCTTCTGTTATTTTGTTTTTAATCATACCATAAGTCTCATTAAAGCTTTATTACAGCCTCACAATACTTTTGTTTCTAGTTTGTGACATTGTTCATCTTAGACTACTTTGAGGCATTGCCAGTTTAGTCAGAATTTTATTCAGAGCCTCAGAACAGCTGCACCGGGTTCAGCAGTAAATGCAAGCTATGAATATATTTACAGCATAAACAGAATGGTGATAAGCCACTTTGTTGCTCTGTTTGACTCTTTGAGAGCACAGCAGGGATATAGCAGGGTTGCCTTCTTCCTGACCTTTTGTAATTGTTCTTTAATGAAGTTAGAATTTGTATCATTATAGCACAAAAAGGAAGCATGTATTTTATTTGTTACCTTGCATCTCAGTAGATTTCCAAGTGATTTGTTAACTACATAAATATAGACTTCACTGAAAATGAGCATAACAAGTAGAGAACAGCAATGTAAAAGTAACTTGCACACAGTACAGTGCAATACAATAGTAAAGAACTTTGGGGGGAAATTGCAAGAACAATTTCAAGGAGCTTCAGAATATTTAATGTCTGAAAAAGTAGACATTGCTTACTGAGACATCATCTTAAACTTCCACATAGATTTTCTTGTGTTCTTTCATGTGCACACTCCTCTATGCAAGCTCTGAATTGGTATCTGTATTCTCCACAGTTTTGTATTGCAGACTTATTAAGAAATATGTTTTCTTTCTTTCTTTCTTTCTTTCTTTCTTTCTTTCTTTCTTTCTTTCTTTCTTTCTTTCTTTCTTTCTTTCTTTCTTTCTTTCTTTCTT